AGTTGGAGTGTGAAGGCTTCATGTCGCTCAAAGGGGCACACCACACAATCTAAATAAACACGGTAAAATTTGTAATAATGAAGGCTTGATAGGATGTAACCAGAAATGCGAATAACACAGGGCAGAAGGGGAGATACCACAATTGGTTAGCACAAGTCTGGTCAAATGATCGGCTTCACTTGTCTCTTTGGCTAGTTGTTGTGTGGTGCTAATAATGACGATATTCACTGAAGATGCCGACTATAATGCCAGAGAAACGTTTGGGAATGTACCACGTCCACGGTTCAACTTTGGAAATGATCATGCAGACAATGGATCCCGGACTAGGTGCGTTCCAATAAGTCTTCCTACCAATATGACCATGTTGCGAAAACAAGGTCAAAAGTTTTTAGAGTTCACCTTTTATTAAAATTCCAGAAGGCTCAACGTGAGAGGTTTCATCTTAAATATACTATGCAAGTCTGGATAAAGTGCAAGAAAGATATTAAATCGGCTTTAAAATCTACTCGGTCTTCAACTTATATCTCGATCAACTTATTCGTGATTTCTTAACTAAAAGCGGATGTTTGCTCAAAATATTTCCATTAAAAATTAAGGAATAATATCGAGGGAAGTATTTTGACTTGACGAAGGTCATTAATTTATACTCAACACTATTGCTTAATAGTAAATTAATTTTAAGGAATTGTGAGACTTGCTACTTGATTTTTTAAATGCCACTAATCTCGTCTTTTATTCAAAGTCTCTCCTTGTCTGTGAAGTTTCAGGGCTAATTATTCGATCTATCCACATTTAATTGAAGACATTATTTCACTCCAAACGCATCTTTTTCAGTATGATTAGACTTAGCACAATCTTCCTGAGAACTATTCATGAGAATCATGGTGCATTCATGCTTTTAGTTAGGATTTCCTGGGGGCTTTGAAATCCAATTATTATTAACCAATTTTATTGAGTTAGATTACATGCTCTTGTTTGTCCTAGCTATTTATCATCTTAATAGATCCGAGTATTACCATAAATTGAAATTATTCTCCTACACACAGCTAGCTCTTAAGCCGTTTCTAACCAGATTTATCTTTTTTCCTCTAAATGTTCGCTTTATATTTTCTGATGTTAAACAGATTATAATCTTAGCTATAGCGAAGCCGAAATTGAACGTAGAAAATTACCCATTTTTTTATTTACAATGTCAAATTATGATTGAATTAATAGATAAATGGAGGCATTATGGTTGTTCGAATGAAAGTAGTGTGACTATTAGTATCGTTGAATTAATCATCCAATGGGGTACCTTTACTTATAGATCGCAATATTCTATAAATGAGTTCTAATAGGACTTTAAATTATACATAAAATATATTTCAACTCATAACTGTCTCACTGTCATTATTCAAACTCTACTGACATGGTCAAAATCCGCTCAATATGAATATAAAATACCTTACTTTTTTTTTATTTATCAAAGAGCACAAAGGGAAACAGGCTGCACAAGATGGCAAGGGAATCGGCCTCTTTGCATCAACCCTTCTTATAGATCAATCCTCTAGCCCCTCAGTTCCTGTTCAGAAAAGTAGCAGCAGTGGTAGTTGCAGTGGTGAATGCAGCGAGGTTGGGGGTAGGATACAGAGAAAAGTCCCAAGAAAGGTATGCACTAAGTGCGAGACTCCCCATGAATCTACTGCTGAATGCTGTGGTGCCCTTGATAAAGAATTAGAGGAGCAACGAATCTACAAAATTGGGTTCGAAGATCACACCAAAAACGTTACCTCTTTCTGCTCAGGCAACTTAGTTGGTTTTGAATCTTCCAGTGGGATTGGTGGGCATGAGACTGGAGCAAGTGACAGTTCCGGCGTAGAGAAGCGCCTTGGAGCCCGAAGTTCACTTGCTACTTCTCGGGTTCATCTTCTACCACGTACAGGATGTTGTCAGGAGGCGGTGGTGGCTACCATTAGACACTCAGGAGCCGCTATACCTGATGAGTCCATGCAGCATGGAGTTGCTGCAACATCACATTTTGTTACTGGTCATGAGACAAGCGATGTTTGCAAAGAGAATAGAGCTCCACACTGGCCTTCGAAACAGATGCATCGGTCGGCGACCGACACTAATATTGCTTACGAGTTCAATAGTCAGGTTAAATATCTAATTAATTAGTGCCTATTTTTTTTAAACAAGTTGAATTAAAGCATGCATCGTATGTAAATTGATTTGCCTACTAATTGACTTATTGTAACTACTATGTAGGTCAAAGTTGATATTTGACTTAAATACCTTAGTGCAAGTTTAGTAGCTGGATGAGGCAAAATGTACATTATTGCCCATATAAATCCGGTAAGTGTACTTGCATAAATTGATTTATACTGAACCTTCTATTCTTAATATTTTTAAGTATATTTTTTCTTATTAGACGGCAAACTTTTAGCATACCTATTGCTTTAATATATGAGGGTCTACAACTTGCCTATATTTCCATGATAATCTTAATTTCATTAAATTCTATGGCGTTAGAATAATGTATTCAGGATTTTACTTCTGTTGCTGAGCCTTGAATCAGATTGATTCTGGGAGAATTGTAATTCATTGCCATAATTAGACTAGTTAGTTGATTAATCGTTACCAATCTCACACAAAAATAGCATTTCTGAACTCATAAAAATTAAAATTTTAATACTAAGTAATCTATGCTATCTTAATTAAAGTAAATTAATTTACTTATAGGAGTTAAAGACTTTCCTATATGTAAGAATTATCAATTTGAAGATAGATACCTTGTCTAACCTGAGGTTTGGATCCTTCTGCCAAAATGAATCCTTAATTCGAGATCATGCATTTTCGTGCCTCATTTATCGCTTATAATTCGAACACCTAACTCTTGCTGGCTTAGCAAACTTAGAACTAGGAAGAATCTTAGGCTCAACTATTCTTAAAATATGGCATGTGCTCAAGTTTCCTGCCTTATAATAATACTATGCACATGCATTTGGATCAACGATAAGAATTATACGATTCGCTTCGACTAAATTTTTCGCAGGCTTGGGTTTACTTAATTTTGCTGAGGCCAGTTCTCTCCATCCTTTTTTTCTTGTCTTCTCCGAGGCAGAAGCCTCAAAGCTCTACTAGATTTTTTTCTATGGTAAATTATGTTGCTGTTTATCATCGAATTTAGCAAAATACTTTGGTTGGGCGTGTTTATTACAAATTTTAAATGAATGTGCATAATAAAATTTAATCTTACATTTTTTACAGCCTCCTATTTATTTGTAAGTCCAGCATATAAGGCATATTTGTAATAAATGAAACGTATTCACCATATTTCGTCTAAGGTGATGAAGGACTGGTAGTTAAATTTTCCCAGAATTATATGAATAGATATGATGTTCCCAATAAATTTTGCATAGCCTTGCTTTTCCAAAAGGTGTTCTCATCCAGGGTGGACTACAGCTTCGACATTGCCTCGGTCCCATCGCACCCCCAGCTGGATTTGAACCATGAAAGCGCAGCGTGTAATATCTACACCTTAGCCACTATGCCACATTTCCACAAGTGCCCTTGCGTCACAGGACTGATGTGAATTTCAAGGTAGGCCAGGCATTTTCTCATATCACATTCTTTGTTGGTATTGTCGATGAAGCAAGGTTATTTTTCCTACAACAATCGACTGCATTATTTATTTATCGTTTTATACACGAATATTTAGAGACTACTGGTAAATCAGTTATATAAGATGCCGATTGTTATAACAAATATAACTTTGCTTCGCCCACAACCCCAACACAGAATGTGATATGGAAAATGCCTGACCTTCCTTGAAATTCATATCTGATCTGTGACCTAAGGGCACTAGTGGCAATGTGACATAGTGGTCAACGTGTCGAGATTACGCGCTGAGCTGTCATGCTTCGAGTCCTGAAGGGGGTGTTGATAAGACCGAAGCAAGGTCGAAACTGCAGTCCGCCTTGTATTATAACACCTTTTGGGTAAGCAAGGCTATGTAAAATTCAATGGAATCCTCAGCTCAACTCATATTATTGTGGGAAAATTCAACTAATAGTCCTTAATCACCTTAAACGAAATAGGGTGAACACACCATTTGCTGGTAGTTTGAAACCCTACTAATAAAACGATAAGTATTTGTAATATGACTATAATTATAACATCAGTATAGGAGTCAATTCTGGGAATTCGCTAGTCTTTGATAAAGGAAAAACATTGAACTGGGCGAACTATTAAAAATGTCCTTATACATTGAATTCCTGTGTAGCACGCAACCTACCGTGCTATTATAAAAAATATTGTATGAGCATTAATATATTCCAATTAAAGTTTTGTCTAGGGAGATGTTATAGTATAATCCCTTAAGCGCTATTATCTTTATTTTGTTATCTGACTAAAATTTACATGAATAAGCTTAGGTATTGCTCCAATCTCAGCCAATGGTAAAGTATCTGATGGGATTCATTTGCTATGAGCAGGATATGTTGGAGGTAAAAATAATTTGAATAAGTTATAGGCAAATCGTGTGTCCTAAGCATATGTATACGAATGGACATCAAATTACATATAGTATTCTTATTTTAGTAGATAAAATGGAAGAATTCGGCAGCCGTTTATCGAAAATTCTCTAATGGTTTAACATCATTGAACTTCATATTATACTGAAAATAAATCTGGTAATACATTTAGGAATTCAGGTATGAACTTTAGGATAGTGTGAAGTAAGCAGGGAATCTTAAAATGAGAATTTAAGGGGAAATGTAGATTAGGCCAAAACGCTGTATACTTGACTATGGCATCATTAGCCACTAGCTTCGTATGGGTTGTATCAAATGAGTTTAATTTTGCGTTTATAGGTAGAAATAGCTACCCTGAGGGGATAACGGCAGGACTCATAAGTTTTACCCATTAATTTCGTGAGGTAGAATGAAGTGCTATTCGAGGTGCGTGTCATGCCTATAATTTATAGGAATCATAGGAATATATAATTTATATTATATAGGTAATAAACTACGAATAAGAAAGCGGGTTGACCTCATTGACCCTGTTGTCAGGGCGACTTATTAGAATGCACTTAGCCCCAAGCGTCTGCCATAGTATTTTTCATGATTCCCCGCATCTGACAGTGGACTTGATACATTCTCAAACGTTTCGCCGACATCGTATTCAGCATCATCAGTGAGCTTTGCCATTCTCCGCACCAAGCTACGAACTCGTCAAAGAGAAAAGTGAACCCAACCCTTCGACAATTGTTCTACCGAAAACGGTTACACTATCACTCCTCGTTCTGTCCTGGCCTATCTATCTACGCTTTACTATCTTATCCCACTGACACCCTATCACAACTTCTCACTTGTTTACATTCCTAGCGTCAAAATGTGTGCCCTTTTGTGGCAAACCGAGTGGGGCCTCATCACACTTGCTATTTACCCCGACCCCTCTCTTTCGATGGGCTTATTCGACTCGGGGCTCCAATTCGGATCCTTTCATTGTATCGCAGATCCGTTCCTTATCTTTCTGGTTGACCGATTTCACTCGGATCCAGTCCCTGTGTACATTTCACTCTAGTGCTATTTCTCAAGGCCCCAGAAGCACATACACTGCGGCTTCACTGAGCCAAGCGCTTAAGCTATGATTCCCATACTTGCAGATATCAGGCCTTTCTTACACTGGTCGTTTCCTTGATTAAACCCATGTTATCTGAGCAAAATGTGGACGCCTATCTCTGGTAGCATGCGGCATATTAAGAGAATTTCTAGTGCATTTTGGCCAGAACCTCTAATTTCTATGACGGTGTGCTTATCCGTCTTCCAAGCTCCCTGACTGCCAGGCCCCCAAAGTTGTACTGGTTTATTCAAAATGGGCATCACTCACTGACAACGTCTGCTTAATTGCCGAATACCCCTGCCCCCCACTTTCGTCATCGCAATCCCATTGCCTTCGGTTAGCGGCAGATCCTTGCTCCAGGCATCTCCTTTACGCTGGTCTTGCTCTGTTGTTTTCCCCGATTTCGCTTAGGCATTAGGCAAAGTTACCGCTAACTCTACCTTCCTCCAATCTCCTGTTTATTAGATTTATCTCCCCAAGGATGTCAACGGCCTGCCTAATCTTCCGCCTTCTTGTTTTGTCACCGTATGGAGCTTTCCTTTCTGTTGCCTTCCAATTAATCTCGTGTCCAGTCCGTGCGATGTGTTTCGCTAGTTCTGATCTTTTAGCATCCATTTTCCTGCATAGCCTCTGATGTTCCTTGATTCGTGTGCTAATTTTTCTCCCTGTTTCACCAATATATTTCTGTCCGCAGCCGCCGAATGATATACATTAAACTCCTGAGCAGTCCTATTTGTCTGCCGGTGAGTTTTCTTGACTTGTAAGCTTGAATTTCGTTGTGACAATGATACCTTGCTCTGATGATGTTTGTCAGATGACGGACGAAAGCTTAGCACATTTTCATCGGAATCG